AGATTACACAAAATTTTAACATAGTGTAAAATTCTAGGTATTTGTCAACTTGAAATGCTACGGGTTTTTTTAGTACTGCCTTCTCTTTTTCTGTATCTGCCCCTTCAGATACAGGCTGCATTAAAAAAGATAAACAAATCTGCAACCCCCAGATGAGAGAGCTCAGCCAAGGTCTGATTCCCAGAGAAAGGATTTTTAACGTTTCCAAGGCACAAATGATGTTCCCTTCTGAAAACAGAGGAGTCATTTAGAGCCAGTGGAGCAGGAGTGGAAAAGGCTGTGGGACAGGCAGTGAAGGATGAAGTCTGGGGAAAAGAATGTCTCAAACAACACTGTTATGGTAAATGGTCGTATGACATTAAAATACCAGGAAAATGAATGCTACAGTGCTTAAGTTAGTTAGCACAGTTGCTGTTCTGATTATAGCAAAAAGCAGAAGAGCAGTAAAACTTCAGCTAGCTCAGAAAGTCTTCTGGCTCACAGAAAGGCTTCCATCACATTTTCAGGAGAGTATATCTTTCAAACCCCTATCGCGAGACATACTAAAAGACAGGACAACATTCTTACAGCAGAAACCCACTCTGTGACAAGGGAGGACCCAACATTTGTTTTTCCTCTGAATTTGCCTTTATCCTCTCTCCAGGGAACATGCTTCAATTTCCAAGGAAACCCCTCCAGTTCTGATATCATCATCTCATGGAAGTAAACACTAATTGCTGACAAGAGTTAATACTGCACTTTACATTGACTTTGGCAAAAATACATCCTGGCTCGTGACAGCAAGAGCATGACACGTTTTGGATGGGTTTTTTATGCAGCAGAGCTCCTCTTCTCTGCTCAAGTACATAAGTATATTCCATGAGCATCACCTGTCTTCACACTTTAAGCAGCTCATGTTAAGAAGAGCATGCTTTTCTCACTTTATCACATCCCCCAGATCCACATTTTCTATACAGCTTCAGATGACATGACTCTGGTGCATACTGTTATCATAATCACATTAAGTACATTGGAACTGTATGATGCATAAAATCTCACAGTCTGGCAGCACTGAAATCAGAGCCTGATGAACAGTCAGCTTGGCCAAAATTACAAGACATACAAATAAAACAGACCCCAAGACTAAAAAGCAAAGTAATGAAGTATGAGGACTCTCAGAAGTAGACTTTAACTCAAGACCGGGATAAAAACTTTCTGCTCCAGATTCATCCACCCCCTCATGCTCAAATTAATTTAGTTCATTTTCCAATAAAGTTACCCAATTTGCCAAATATCTCACAAAAATTGCCCTAGAAGGTTTAAAGCCTTTACTGACAGTCTCAAATCTTCATTCTTTCTGATTGAAGGTCTCTGACACTAAATTTAAAAATCTGTTTTCCAGAAGATTTTTGCCTGTAATTTATAGACAGAAATAAGTGTCATAGCATTCATTAGTACAGGTTTTATCTTGGAAGTGTCAGTGGATGTTGGATCATTCTTTCCTCAAGATGAGGAATGGAAAAGGATAGCCATCAGGAGACTTTCCCACATGCTTACAGGAGCACGTCTATTAGAAGCATGGAGGGAACCTTACAGTCTTACTACTGAAATTCAATCAGATCTGAGATTGGCCACAAAAAAGAATGCAACACCCAGTAACATGGTCAAGGGCTAAACCCCTCCAGTACGGGCAGTGCAGTGGAGCACTCACTGCCTGGAACACCAAATAGGTACACTTCTGAACTTTTTTGGTGTATTCCTGTACCATTGTAAATACTTCTTAAAGGAATAAACTAATGAATATGGCTGAGTTCTCAATAAAACAGATCTCCAGTGGCAATTCACCACATATACATATAAGCCAAAGGCATTGCATTCTTTTATGTTTAATTATTCATTATTCCAGATTAAATGTAACCATACAGAAAGCTAGCCGCATTTTTAAATGAAATGAATGCCAAAAAAAAACCCTAAAAAAACAATGTAAGTGCAATTCCACTAAAATCTGACTTCACATATTAGGTCAACAGCCTGGAAAGACTCTGTACTTTTTTTGTCCTAGTGGCCCAATTTCCCACCAAGCACAGGTAAAGACTAAGGCAAACAATATTTTGACTCACAGTAACCACCTTACCAAGAAATCTAACTGAATTTCGTCCAAAAAATCTATTCAGATGGGGAGGAAAGGAGCAAGGCTGAAAAGAAGCTCTTTAACATTACTCTTCCAATATAGCCACATAAAACCAATATAATCACAACTCCAGCACAGACTTGAATGTTTTAAAGTATAATCTAACAGAACTGTGTAACTGATACACCAAACTGCAGAGGTATAATCCATCCCATAACAAAACTAAGTTTTAAAAAAAGTAATTAAATTCAAAATACGCTTACTGTAATGTATGCTTATTTTAGTACCTGGCACAAGGCAGTAAGTACCTGGCAGTAAATAAAGTTGCATCAAATGTCTGCTACTCCGCTGAAGACTGGATCTGTTACTGGGTTTCACACCTCATTATGGAGGCTTATTTACGGTTTTTGAAAGTTCAGTAGCAGAAAGTGAGGCTGAACCAGTTGCTGAAACACTGACAGAACCTTTTGTATCACTGAAAAATTTCCCCTTGATTTCCATGGGTATTCAATCAAGCTGAAGAGTGACAAAGACCACAAGTGTTTACTGTGTGATTTTCTCCTAACATCAATCCTGGTTTTATCTCACTATTTCCATCTACTATGCCTAGTTTCTCTTTATATAAACCGTAACAGCATCAAAGCACATGTGCCAGTGTTTTGCTGGTCTGGGGCCAGAAGGCAGAGCATTTTGAGAGACTGAAACCCAAAATGATCACGATAAAAACCACATAATTGAGATAAAAAATTTATGGACAACTAACTGCACTCATCTGGGTTTAAGCACTTTCTTCTTTGTAATTACTTTCCTCACAGTTTTCACCACCAGTGTTACAACAAACATATGAAAAGTAATAAAGCACAAAGTAAGAACACCAACTGTCTTATAGCACAGAAGATGCAGTTATGTTCTGAGCTAGGTCTAGTTTTCAATAAAAAAAATAAAATAAAAAAAACCCTTAAGTAACAAACAATTAAAATAAATGAAATAATTTAAATTAAAAGATAAATAACTTTTTGGAATTCCAGCTTGTACTTCACATGATTTTATTATATTCTGTTGCTTAAGACTCCTCAAATAATTTCAATATATTCATTACTCACATAAGTGGTCCTAATGATTTTAGTGGGGCTACTCGCATGAAAAAACCCCTTATACGTATGTTTCAACAAAAAAGGTGCGGCCTGCCAATGGAAATAAGCTGAGCTGTAACACAAACCTGCTTCTTGCAATTCAGAAGAGGAAGGAGAAATAACAAGAAAACAAAGGGCACACTGTTCTTCAGCTAATGCTGGCACACACCTAATCAATACAGCCAACTATGAAGGATGTTCAAAAGTATTTATAAAGCTGAACACGAATAGGAAACATTTACATCAAATTACAGCCAACCTGATAGTATTTAACTATCAAAATTTAGCTAATTGCAGTTTTCTTGTAAAAGAATTATAACATAAATTACATTAAATGAGTCATAATGAATTTAGCATAAGTACAGGATTCATCCACACAGTGGAGCCAACAAAACCTATTACCTTTCTCTCCTACTATCCTTTTAGACAATCAGCTAGATCATACTCAAACTGCTGCTGCAACACATGGTAACCAAGATCCTGACATAGACTATTACCAAAATTAAACTGATGCTTTCACAAGTTACCACTGTCCATGAGTCACATTTTTTTTCACCTCCTATTGAGTTTCTGCCCGACTTTAGGTTAAGTTATTAACTGTTTCTGCAAACTTTCAAACAGCCTTTTGTTCTTGTTCTCCTTCTGTAGAAATCAAGTGTGTAGAAAGGAGGGCATTATGAACAAGATAAGAGAGACCTACGTAAGTTACTGATCTGTCTGAAATGGGGTAGACCAATAAATCTAACCAGGGCTAGTCCAAAAAGAAAACTATTTATTCCAGTTGTGCACATGAGTAGCAGGTTCTGTAACTGAAAATTTCTCAGAAGAAACCTTTTATCTCATAATCCAAACACATTTTTAAATGTGGTTAGAACTAAATTATTAGGATAAGTAAGAATTTAAGGAGCAATATCCATACATAAATATATTCATATACATGCGGGTTTTTAACTAGTTGCCAAGTCCTTAAAAGCAGATTGTTTTCCATCAAAAATTATAATTTTAAAATGAAGAAGAATCACTCTATACTTCTCATGGCCAACATTTTCACATCAATTTTGAGCACCTCAGGTTTCAGGTAGATTACTGCAAGTCACCAAAACGTGCCTCTGTAGATAGGAACCAGCCTGGTAATGACATACTCGTGGTAACCGGGTTTAATCTCAAACCAAGTTACCATCAATTATCTTTATTTCCCTGCCACCTATGGCAAAGGTGCTCACGAACTTCAGTGAGCTCCTCACACCTAGAGCAGTACGTATCAACACCGTTAACCCCAAGGCAAAGTTGTTGTTGGCCAGCATTTACCAGGAAAAGGCTGACAGGGCTGCAAGAAAGGTGCTGGGGCTGGTCGGGGAATAGCGCGGGGAGAATGTTCCTCCGGAGCCGGCAGAACTTGGCATCCCGTACGTTCCACCGGCCGGAGTTTCCCACGTGGGCAGCTGGCAGCGCAGCGGAGAGTAAGCAAGCGAGAAGATGCATGGTGGAAAAACAGCGCTGAAAACCACCGAGGCCGGGAAGCAGATGTGAGGACGGCTCTACACACCTGCAGGCGCAGGGGCGCAGGGTCACGCTACAAGGCCATTTCCCAGCTGGGATTGCATCAGCACCGGCAGCAGGCTCCGCCAGGAGGGCCGTTTCTGTCCCGTGGGGCCGCTGTGCCGCCGCCAGCCTCAGCCCCGCCAGCCGCGGGAACGCGGACCCGCGCCCCCCGCCGGGATCGGGAGTGGCACGGATCGGGCGGGTCTGGACCTTACCTGGGGATGTACCTCGCCTCTTCTCCGAGCCGCACCTCGAAGTCCTTCCAGGGCTGTTCCAGCCCCGCGGCGACCCACGCGGCCGTCTCCTCCCCCTCGCCCTCCTCGCCCGCAGGCTCGCCGCCGCCGGGCTGCCGCCGCGTGGCGCCGCGGAAGCCACGGGCGAACTCCGGGAAGGTGATGGCCCCGTCGCGGTCGCTGTCGAGGCGCTGGAAGATGGCCTCGGCCTCGGCCGGCCGCACCCGCAGCTCGGCGCACAGTGCCGCGAAGTCCTCCCGCTCGATGCGGCCCGAGCCGTTGGCGTCGCACGCCAGGAACAGCGAGCGCAAGCGGGACAGTTCGTCCGCCGCCGCCTCGGGATCCATCGGCCGGCGCCGGGGGCACGGATTCTCCGACCGCGACCGGCACTGCACAGGTCGGGACGGGCGAAGGCGGCGACCCGACCTGCGGCCCACTGGGGCGGGACAGGTCCTGCTCCGCCCCGGCGCCCCGCGGGGCCGGGCGCGGCCGGGAGGCGGGAAGCGGAACGCAGGTGGCGGCTCTCGGCCTGGATAGGTGCCTGGAAGTGCTGGAGAGGCCCGCGGAACGCCGGCCGGGACAAAGCAGGGCGACCCCGACCCGGCAGCCGGGAGATGCCGATCCCACTTTCCCCTTTGCCCTTGCACAGGTGACTGTTTACAGCATCGCGGGCTAAAACACACGTCTCACCACTCTGCAGCACTCAAATATGAGTCCCGATACTCTGCGGTCACCATAGGGTGTTAAATCTCACTTCTGTTTTCTCACAGAATAAAAGTACTCCTGATGTTCTTGAAGACCAAGAACCCAGGATGACACAAAGTTTCAACAGATAAATTCTTGCTGACCACGAATAGTCATGGAGTTAAGCAGTGCAAGTATGTGCTCATCGATATCCCACCACCAGCAATTTAGAAATGTGCATTGTTAAAATACCAGCTTAAACTGAACATGCAAAAGCTGCATTCAAGTCAATAAGCCAAAAGAGCTAGATTTTCAGTGCTCTGTGAAGAACTACCATCTGTCTTCCTTGACAGAAGTCAAGGTGCCTCCCTTGTTGAAGTCAGACTCAAAATTTAGACTCCATTTGAAGCAGTTAAATTTTAACAGATTTTTTGAAACTATTATTTCCCTACACTTGTTCTTGTTTATGTCTATCTACAAATGTAAATTGTGCATACCAAAGTTGCGATAAACAGAATACAAATCCTACTGTCAAAACAACATTTTCTTATTGACCAAAACAGAGCCTAGGCTAAGTATATGTGATCCAGCAAGGCACAAATAGTCCAGACCTCTCCTTAGAATAAATCACTACTGTAAATGGGAACTATAAGGTACTCCTCTGCCTAAGAGATGTGGAATGCCCTCAAAGGAAATTATAATTTTTTTTTAAAGCTTTTGACTACTTTCTTGTCAAATTTAAACAGACAGACAACAATTTATCTCTAGACAATAAAAAGTTTTGTGAAATTTCCCTGCACTTTAGAGAAATACAGTTGTTAAATAATTTGAAATATAAATTTTAGCTTAAAAATGTTAGATAATTGAAGGACTTAAATTTATGATTTTATACATTTTTGTCATTATATTTCCACCACACAACTGCAGAACTACTAAAAGTAGTAAAGTGGTAGGATCATCAGTTTCCTAGTGTTTTTGTAGAACAAAATTAATTTAACAAAAGTATTCTTCCTATTCCATGGTCTCTCGTCTGTCCATCAAATTTTTATACTCAAGGAGTATCATGAAGACCTTATGGGGTTGATGAAGGGTTGTTCAGCCATCCAAAGAGACAAATTTACCTCACTTATACAACCCAACTCTCTGTCCATAGAAGCAGGGACATTTGGTTGTCAGAGTGAACAAGCTCATGAGCTGAACTGCAACAGCCTCATCCTGGGCTGAATTGTGTCTGACTACACAGACAGGGAGTTCCCACTCCAATCAATGTGCTCACCTTCTTGTTTGCTTTTGAGGCTGCAGGTTTATAAATTGACATTTCTCAGTAATCCTTTTCCTACCCACTCTTTTACTCACTCTCTTGTGTGTATCTCTTGTGGTAGTGACTACCTTGGGCTGCTACAGTAGAGGGCATAGACTTTAGACATGTAATCTCTGTTGGGATTTTTTATTCTTCTTTTTTTTTTTTTTCCTCTGATAGTTAACATCATCTTTTCCCAAGCTTTTCTATGTAACACTGTTCTGGATACGACTTAGGATTTGACCATTCTACTGTGAAGGTCTGAATTTTTGTTTTCATTAAAGGCTTTATGTTTCTCCCTATATGATGCAAAGTAAATAGTAAGTAACACTGAAAACAAATAGAAATCTTCACATTAACATTCCATTTTTAATCAAGCCATATGAAAGTCTTGCAATAAAATTTGCCAATACAATGCCTATATGCTTTGTGCTTTAATGTGCAGGTAGTTCCTCATGTATTCAGTGGATTTCATTGCCTTTGACATCTCCCTTATTTCCGCTGTTAGAGAAGTTTTGTCACACAAATCTCAGTTAGCACAGTCATGGCATACATATATTCTGCTAAATAGATGATACAGTGCTGTACAATACCACATAACCAGTGCTTGTTTGGCAGGCCATGATTTAGTTGAATAGTCCTAACACAACAGCACAGAGACAACAAATAAAAGATGCTTATTTGATGAGACATGAGAATGAGTGGTGAGATCAGGATTCCCAGCAGGCAACGACAAAACAGTGCTTTGTTCTGAAATCGTGTGCCTATTTTTAGAAGGATCTACTCCTTCAAATCCAGCTCTAAATTAAATAAATATGTAAATACACTGTTTCTGTGGTATAGTAGTTTTATATTCATAAGGGAAGTTTCAAATTCATGCATAAGATACCAAGGCTACAGATACAGATATACCCAGGATGCAATTTTCAGTCTATCATCTATTTTACTTCACTGTGCCATGAAACACACAAGGTAGCCCAAGCATCTATTTGGCTGAAGAGGCAGAAGAGAACGTCATGCTCAGGAACTTCACAGAGGCCTAAGGCAACAGACAAACAAGAAAGGATTCATTGTATCACTACTAAAGTGTCCTATTGTACTGAGTGGGAAAAGGTGGGTTTTGACACTGTTATAGAGACAGAGGTTAAATGGAGTAGATTAGAAGAGACGGGTAAACCAGAAAATTGAGGTGTGGCAGCACATAATATCAAGACCTAGCATTGTCGCAGGAAGCAAAAGAGCAGAGGAGCTGAGCTGACAGGTGGGATAAGCTACTGAAGTTTTAAATTCTATTTGAATATATGTGATCTCTGAAAGTAACTGCGCAGAACTTTGGACAAGCCCAGAAAAGCTGGAGTGCTGTGCTCCAGGCAGAATCCATGCCTGATATAGCAGGCCTCTTCCCATGCCTCTCTGTGTATTGTTTGACGAATCCTACGTACATACTGAAGGAAGATTTTTGACTTGGACATCAAGCATTTATAAGGTAGGAATTAGAACATAAATTGGAACAATTATTACTTCATCATTATTGAACATGGCCTTGGGCATTATTTACAATGTCATGCATGCTATTCCGATTTTGCACTGAAGACTGAATATACCTACTGTATAGTACCTGCATATACTAACTAAACTTCTCAACTAGTGATGGTTAAGAAAGTGAATTGATCCCTCTGTGCTTGCAATTACTTTCTTATTCATCTTCTTCTGGTTTACATTTGGATAGTTTAAGCAACTTAGCATAACCTGTGTGATTTACTTGGAGAGTAGACAAGAAGTAAAATACAATCATCTAGTAATAAGGAATATCTCACTGAAAACAGTTAATATTACACACAAATATTATACTTGCCACAACACTATGAAAACTAATGAATTAAAACTGCATCAATTTCTCCCTCAACCAACACAAACTTCACTTGCTCTGCAAGCCACCATAATATGTCAAAGCATCACAATCCTGGTGTGACACTCTACCTCTTCCTTCTGTACCTGTACCTGTTCATCTCCCTTCTAACAGGAAGGGAGGCACATTGTGTGCAGGCAGATGAAGGGCAAGGTGAGAGGGTGATGTGCACAGTGGAGTGGCTCTGAGAGGTCTCCAGCAGATGAGCCGTGGTAGTTGTTCTTCCTCCTCACTGCTTCCCTTCTCTGCCTTTCTCATACTATGTCTTCATTTGCACTTTTTATTAACTTGGTGGCATTTTCATTGCTTCAATGCATCAAACTATGCTTCGATGGCATTAAACAAGCTGTTTATTTAGTTATATCCAGGCATGTACCTTGTGTGAAGCTCATAGGGTAGGTGTGCCTATTAAATGCCAAGTCTAGGCAGATTACAAAACATATCGACATACTCTCATTCACTACTGAATATTTTAGTACTGCTGAATATGATTCACCCTTATTCTCTTCAGTTAAAAACTAAGGATAACGTATCTGGTAACAGACATCAGTAGACCTTGTTTCTCAGATAGACTGCATCATTATGACCTCTTAAAGGGAAAAGGCACAATCTAGGTCTTTAAAAACTTAGTCCAAGACAAAGAAATTAAGACATTTGCATGATATTGCACAATGTGCATAATATCCACAATTTTATGCTTCAACTTTATTAAAAAAATGAGACAGAAAATGACAATTAAAGTTCTTTTTCAAAGCAGAGGTACATTTAAAAAACAAAAATGTCTCTCAGGATACACAGATTTTTTTTTAATCAACTAAAAATTTGTCAGTTCAAACAGTGGATAATGAGTTTCATGGATTTATTGATTACTTTAATAAACTTTGGACAATGATTGAAGTGGAAATTTTTCAGTTGAAGCGTCTTCAGCCTTCAAAAGGGATTGGAATTAATATTGGTATAGCAAAGTACTCATGGTGCTCTTGCATAAATTTTTAGACATTGACAGCAAATGAGGCATGACTATCTCACATTCTTTTTGAAAGCTTGTCTGTTGTGATCAACTGAATAGACAGAGAGATGCTGAAAAGACCAATAATGACTGACGAGTACTTCAGCTCCAAAATAACAGAAAAAGACTGTTCTAGAGACATGTTGTTACACTGCCAGTTCTCAAAATCTCAAAATCTTGCTTTCCCTATTAATTTTTGGAGTAATATAAGCAGCTAGCAATAAATACTTATGAACTTCATCTTTTACAGGAAACCTTGTTTTTGGAAGTCTACATGCTTTTTGCAATTCTAATAGTTAAAACCAAATGGCATCTACTGATGAAACTTCTTTGTTCTTAAAGAAATGGGCATCTCAAACGTGCAATTCAATTAACAAAAAGCATTGCTGAAGACAGGATTTTCAGGACGGAGATTAACAATGTTAGGTCAAACAGACATACCTCCTTCCAGCTGGGATTAGCTTTGACCTTTTTCTGCAGAATCGTGCCAAAACTCTTTCAAAAACACAGCAAGGTCCAGGTTTTCCTTGCAAACA